ACAGAAAATTGATGTCCTGAAACTTCAGAATTCTGCTGACATGATTTGCTCTCCAAATATCAAACTAATACTGTGCATAAACTGCATTCTTCATCCCAAGAGAGATTCTGACAAAATGCGTAAGATAGAATACTTGTTTGTATTAAATATGTATTTTACAATTCAAAATGACAACCTATCTTTCCAAGTTTATCTAAAACCAAACATAGCACAGAACAGGTACACACTGCACCCTAACCATAATCTTCACCCACAATGAATTAGTAACTATAAAACCTTTCTTCAAAATCTTTACCTGTGAAGGCACCACAAGTCTTTCAGGAAGACTTTTTACACACCTGCAGGCTACTTGCTCTTCTTTTCACAGTATTTTTAAACATAGAAATTGGAGTTCAAAATAATGAAAAATAGTCCTAAAATAAATTATTACTGCAAAACAGAAATTAGCAACTCAGAGGAAAGAAACTCACTCTCATTCACAAACCCATGATCATTATGCGATTCATAATACAGAACAATACTTAAAAGAGAACAATTTTTGCCAAGAGATATCAGAAAGGGATATTGCCTTTTAGCTGGCTGTAACAAGCCCACACATACTATGCCAAATACAATAGTCTACAGATTATTTCTGGAGAAATCAAGCTACAGAAAGATTATTTTCAAACTTTCTTTGTGCTCCATATCAACCAGAGTAAGTCAAACAACAAAGAGCTACTTAATACAATGAATAAACAGCAAAAGCAAATAAAATCCAAATTAAGACCTTAAGTCCATAAAATTGCTTCTACTGAAAGCACAAAAGCTTAAGAGTATTTGCCAGCATTTCAGAAGACTCCTTCAAGAATACAGTGCTCACAAGGATTTCCCAATAGTCTGAATTAAGACAGCTCATGTTCCTTGATAACAAGTCACACAAAACCATCTACTCATTTGATTGTAAACAAGTTTTCCCCAATCTTTAACATTCATCAGGTGCATATACACAATACAATAACTGCAGTTATGCTATTACTCAAATCTTAATAAGCACTGTTTAAACCTTCAGTGACAGTAAAAACTGTAGCCTGAAGAACTCATCCATGAATTCTGGCCCTATAGTCTACATCATCTTTTTTCCACTCCTTAAGCTTCAGTGAAACCATTCTAAAATCTCTTGCAGCCTAGCCCTATGGCAAGGCTCAGAATCAGTATGTAATTGTTATGGCCCTAGACCTGTCTGTCGCCCAAGACTATCAGAAATGTTTCTTTTCCAGAAATAACTCTCCCTCATTCCCTTGGTGTTGCTGTCATGACTCATCCACCTTGCTCACCTGTATTATTTTATGAATCACTTCATTGGCTTTTGTCTTGTATCCCTTTCCATTTGTCTTCATTCTATCCAGGGCCAGGATTCAAATTCAACTATGAACTCCCTGCTATCAATCAGAAATATTCTTTCTACTCCCTATCTCCTGTGCTTGTCCAAGTCAACACCCCAGATTGATTCTCTTTTTTCCAATACTGATACCTCACTATCAGTTCAGCACAGACAACATAAAGGTGTTACTAATTCCACCGCTGCGTCAGTTTCCTTTCCACTACTTCAAGTCCTGAATTAAACTAAACATTAGCCCTCAAATCTAGGTTCTGTATAGGTCCTAGAAACAACTTGCTGCTGAGATCCTAGCAACGCCCATCACATCACTAAGATACCCCTCTAGCAGCTGAAATTTTATTATGTGACCACAGAAGTTCACACCTGAAACAGTGAAGCAATCTTCTTCATCTTTCAAGATCCAGATCTGATCCTTATGAACATTCCTCTCTCAATAGCTTTTTTTAGCCTATGGCTGGATCACACAAGTCCTTCCCCATCTCACTTCTTGAGCAGCTCTCTACTTCAAGACCCTCACTGGTCAAGGTCCTCATTCTAAAATTACTAATCAGGATGTAGATGTGGTTGAAGTTCTGGTAAACTGTTGTATTTTCACCTCTCAACTTCTTTTTCCTTGTGGTTGGGAGAGCTCCATGAAACAGCATCCTCTTTCAAAAACCTCCTACAAGTTTTTTTCATGTTTCTCATCAAAACCAAAGAAACAGAATGACCAGATGGCTGTCCCATCTACACTACTACACTAAAATTCACAGCACCAATGCCAAACATTCTACTGCACCATCACAGATCTCCTGAGTTTTCCCTTACCCTTAAATCATTAAGCATTCTCGGTCAGGAAACCCCTCATAACCACTGAACTCCAGGATGACTAATTCAGACACGGAACTTGAACAGCTAGTTACTTAGAAATGTGACTAAAACAATTTTCTGCTTTATAGTGTCTATGGAAAACCACCATCATACTGGCAATAAGCCTACTCAAAGTATTTTTGTCTTTTTCAAGGCTTTTCAACCTGTTTGAAAAATAATCCAAATGCTATATTGTATTCTGCTGTTACTGAGGTTTTAACTGGTAATCGAGTACTCAAGACAATGCCTACTATTTATCATTTCAATCTGTTATTTCAAAGTTGTCTTCTACTATTTTAAAGATCAGGTTGTCCCAGGCTACTAAGAAGGCACCATTCCATACTTTATGTCACTGTAAAATTACAAAATTAAGTTCAAGGCACTAGAGATTTTTCTCTGTCACATGGCTTTATTAGACTTAGCAGAGCAATTTTCAAGCTAATGGACATCCACAGGTATTTTTGCAATATCAGCAATTATTGAAAAACAAGTGGTTTACACTCAAAATATAATTAAAGAAGCATTTTCATTAATCTTGTCATCTTAAAATGATATTTCCCTAAACTGTTCACAATCAAAACCAAAAACACTCCACAAAACCCCAAAAATACTATTCTATAATCCCAGCCATAAATTATCCACTTCTTTTAAATAATAGTTGTGAATAGTAATTCATTTTAAGTTAAGACTTATCTCATGTTTCTGTTTGCTTTCTCACTGCATCTGGTTCTGCCACTGTACAGTTTAGCTTGCCACACTGTACATATGAGCAAGTTTCATCAAAACGCTACTTGTGAGGCAGCAGCATGAGTGTGCCACATGCTGCAAGGTACTCTGACTGCCCTCCAGAACTGCTGCAGTGAACTCCTACTATTCCACTCCAACACTGCATAAACCTACATACCATAACTTAAGCTTAGGCATACAGTTTTCACAGGAAAATAAAGCTTTTTCATTCAGGTAACACTGACTGCAAAAGTGCCATAAGCTCTACCTCAAAGTTTGAGTGCCCATGGGAAACCCATTCAAATGCAATGCAGGATTTCCATATTAGATTCTTCAGTTATTGCTTTTTAATTTCAAACACTTTTTTCCCCCCTGTCCAAGTAAGTTTTTATAGAACAGCTTAGAAAGAAAATTCCTCATATGAACTATTTTGGAAAAAAAAAATCAGCTACTGAAGAATCATTCATTTTTAATCCTAATACACACAAACAATTCAGCATCAGAGCCACACTCCAAAAACAGGTCATTTAATAAAAAAAAGGAAAAAAAAAGAAAAAAATCAGGCTTCTTCATGCAATATAACTACAACATTAACAAAAGTTAGCATATTTCATTTTACTTTATTTAAACACTGAAGTATTTAACAATAAGAAAACAAAATTATTTTTCCAGACAATTATTTGACTTCTAGGTTTAAACAATAAATGTTGCATTAAAATCCAAAACTATACACTATTTTTTTACTCTCGTTAAAATGATATTTTTTTCTACTGCTCTGATTATTTGATCACTGTTTTTAAAATAATCCAGGTTTTTTGTCAACATTTTAACAGACATCTAAAAAGGATAAAACTAATGTCACAAACATGACAACACTTCTGACAATCTTCTAATAATCAATAAACAAAAGGAAATGGAGCCCAGATATTTGGATGAGCAAACTAACAGAAACGTGGAAAAACTTATTTGCTAATTAGAGCACAGGCTAATAGTTATAGCAAACTTTAAAAGCATTTGTTCCCTTCTTTAAAGTCCAGCCTCTAAAATAGTACACCCCAAGAATCATAACAAACAAGATTTAACTGGGAAATTGTATATTAGCCACAAGATGCCTTCATCAAGAGAGAAATCAAGCAAAAGCTTCGATTTATTTTTGGACAAACAAGAGGAATTGGAAACATTACTGCAGCCAAACAAAACAACAAAATACCATAATGCTACCTTCTCCACGAGAACAAAAGCATCAACCTCCAACTCCACCCCACCCCCAAGCAGGCTGTTGCTCTCTAACCACAGAGCCAATGCTGTAGACAATGTAATCCCACAGGGAAGACAGAAGGTCACAGACACACTGTGAAATCTTAAAATAAGGTCCACGTTTTAGAAAGACCTAGAAGTACTTTAACCAGACAAAAATTCATTTGGAACAAACAGGTGGTGTACAGAAAGAGCTTGTTCTTCTCCTGTTTCTTCCCTCAACACATAGAGAGGTCACACACACTGCTCAGCATAGTCCAAAATTAAGGATACAGCACTTAAAATAAGCAGCAGCAATCAAGACGTGGCGACAATGGCAACGTGCAATGTAACACTGCAGGTGTGATTGCGTACTGTATACTAGCAGTGGATCTGTTATTATTCATCAGCTGTAGGTGGCTAAGAGGGTGTCACTTATTACAGTGACACATGCTGCAGCTGGCTAGCTATGATTAAGTATTACCCAGTGTGGTTGAAAGGGATGGAGACTACCATTCATTATGATCCAGCGTGGCTTAGTGGCGTAGGGAGACTGCTACCCTGCCCTGCACCGCAGCACTTGAAGGAAGGCAGCTAAAACTCAACAAAGCCCTGGGAATGGTGTGCACAGAGGAGAGAAATGGAACCTCGGTCGCCCAGCCTGACGGAATGGGTGTCCTGCTAGCAGGGGCGGAGAGCCCGTCCGCGCTCAGCGCGACCGGGAGCGCTCCGCCGCCAAGTGACAGCGCCGGGCCGGGCCCCGGCCGGCTCCGCCGTGCGAGGGGCGCTGGNCGGCCCGGAGACACTCGCGGCGCCGCCGGGGCCGAGCGGCCATTGGCGCGGAGCTGGGACAGGGCGGGAGGAGCTCTTTGTCAAACGGTGAATAAAAAGAGCAGGAGGTCGAGATTTGGAGAGGCGCAGCCCTTAGGGAGAACTCTTACGTTCCTTACATGGAATTGCTAACATCAGGTTTTTTAGAAGTGGGTTTTACATTAAAAGCCCGGTTTCATAATTTTGTTTTCATCTGCAGCTGACGTGCGTAAGATGCGTTTGTTTAGCAAACAGAAACCCAGGCGTCTGGCAGGGCCCCAGCCAGCTGGGCGAGGCCTGTGGCGACAGGCGGCTGAGCGCGGGCTCGGGGACAGGAGGTACGTGCGACACGGAGTGCCCGGCTGTGCCCCGACGTTTTGCTACGACAGAAACCCCAGTTTTGTATTAATTTAACAACGTTACCCCTTCAGGGTGCGGGTCTGATTGTCCGTTAGGAGACCAAATTTGAAAACTAATCCTTTTGCATCAAGACTTGTGTCTGTCCAACTCCCTCTGTGTGTTTAGTATAACGTGTCAGTTTAACTTCGGAACAAATGCTACATTGAATTAAAGATTGCTGAGATTCCAAAGCCCACATATTTTTTATTACTTTAGCTCTGTACTTACGCTGTCTTCCAAATTATGGGGGAAAAAAAAATAACATTTCAGTAATCCCATGAATAAGATTTCGGATTTCTCGCCCACATATGTGCTTCACTGCTAATGCTAATTATTCAATGATTAATGTCTCAGATAAGTAAAATCACGTTTTAAGAGATTCCTTGGTGACAAAGTTTTGTGTATGTATCACTGTACAAACAGCTATTGTCTCCTGTCATTAAGGGACTTTCCCCAACATGATTTCCCCCTCCTCATTAGATACAAGAGGACTTTGATTGGCTCCATTGTGGGCACAGTTCTCGGCAAAAGCACAATGCATACTGGAAATCCTCTGTATTGTTTGCAAAGAGCAACTCATAATCCCTTTGGAAATCTCTTCCTAAAAACATCTCTTTCTTTTTTTTTTTCTTTCTCCCAAGGCTAGAGAATGATCTCAGCTCATGCTAACTCCATTCCATTAAGAATAGTTTCTGGATGTTTGCCATGGACTGTCTCTAGATGGTTATTTTATGGGGCCCCTCTTTTAGTGTGTTTTGAATCAAACTGGAAAATCTAAAAATATAGCACACAATCTGCAGTGTCTAACCTCTTTCAGTAGTTTACAATGAAGGCACTTTGATTAATAACCAGATTAATTGGATACTGGAGCAGGTATATTATTTTGAATAATTAATAATCGTAGAAACCATTGTAGTCCTTTCCATCACTGACAGCAGTACATTATAAAACAACCATTGATTTTTATTTTTATTTTTTCTTAATTATAAATGATCTGCAGTTCAAAAGGCCAGGAATACAATTCAAATCAAAAATAATAACTTGAACTTCATGTGAGTAGCTGGATCATAAGCCACTAAAGGTTTTTTAATCTTGTTTATGCATTGAATTTTCTTCTTGCTGCTAAAGGTTTGTATTTCACAATAGAGTGTGAACAATTCCTATTGACTTTATTGGAAACTGAGAGCATCTACTACCTCACAGAACTAGACCTCAATTTCTAGCCTGTGATTAATGTAAGGACTTCCAGAGCTGAGGTAGAAAAGTTTAAATACCAGGTTTGCACAATTTAAATTTTTGTGTTTGCAATGCAAATCAGTAGTTTGACTTTTTGAGTTACGCTCAGCTGAGGTTGGCAAAATGGTTTTGAATCAGGCCTGTCACTTCAGAGCTCATTTGGAGAAGCACAGCTTGGAGGCACCTTTGAAGGATGTGATTTCCACAAGTGCTGGGCCTCACCCGTGTTCCAAGCAGATGCTCTGCCAGGTGACTCCAGCTGGGTGCTCAGAATCATTAGTCACCTTTGAAAATGGCAGGCTGTTAAAGCAGGAAATCCAGTTTACTCTCGCTTGTCAACTGGGGAACAGGATCACCTCGGACTTGGATTCACCAACATGTGTGTATGTGGACAGAGCCACTTGGCCAGTGCTTAGTGGATCTCAGCAGCTTCATCTTGGGATTGCATACAGTTCCCCTGTCCTCTCAGTCTTGCTTTGTGTGGAAAGAGGAGGAAAGACAAGGATCCTAGCACAAGCCCACAGAATTGTTAGTGATCAGGCCCTCTGTGTGGGCAGGAAGGAGGTCTTTTGGCCTGGAGTGTTGTCCCACCAATGGTACTGCAGGCCAGCAGTGCTCAAGCACCGAGCTTTGGAGAAGGGCAGACAGGAGCAGGGAGCATGGGATGCAAGATGTGATAACCAGGCCAAAGATTTCAACAGCTTGTTTGACCAGTCCAGATCAAACTTTCTCCAGCTCAGCCTTGGCTCTGGGTTACCCCTAAGCTCATTCCTTTGGGCGCAGCACATAATTAATATGCTTCTCATTTGGCAACTGCTTCTCACCTCACTGGTTTGGAGAAAGATGAGAAACAAATGACACGCACACTTTTGTGTAGAAGCAAACCCAAGTTTCTTAGGTGTTCAGCACAAGCGTGTGAGAGATGGGCAAGGGGACAAGAGACTCCATCTCAGATCAGCCTGTCTTACAAAAAAAATCTCACAGTGTATCCTGTAAAATCCCAGCTATTTTAAAACCCAGTGACCTTAAAAAGCATTGTAGGTAGTGAGAACCAAAGTTATCTGGATCTTCATTATAAGGAGCAGGTTTATCTTGAGATGTGGCAGTTTGTAGGTGGTGTAAATCACACATTCTAGTGGTAGGTACTGTGATACAACCCTGCTGGAATTTCATAAGCACAGGATGTACAGTGTGGTTCAGCCGCATGTCTAGGAAAGCAAATAAACAGGCAGTTGCCCACAGAACATCTCTTAGAACTGAACTGTGGTGCATGTGCCAACAAAAGTTATCACTTAAGCTGTTAGCCAGCCAGCTCAGTGTCGGAAGTGTCTGCTCTTTGAAATGGATGCTGATGTTCAACACAGCTCAGAGAATTTGCAACATTGTCTTAAGGATGACAAGGAGAAAGAATAGGCTAGTTAGCAGTCTGCAGCAGGAGCTCTGTTAAATAGTTTTTGCTTGTGTGTCATAGTCTCAAAGAGGGTGCTAGAGCAAAGAAAAACTCTGAATCTGTGTCTTAATGCAGGCTCAGGTATAAGTATACCTTAGTGTGGGAGTCCCCAGAGGCTACAGTCAAGCTTGGGCCTCATTATGGTGTTGCCTTGAAAGCAAGTACAGTTCCTTCCCAGAGTGTTCTTTTACTGTAAAGACAAGAAGCAAGGAATATAGGAAACATTAGGAAGGA